CGGCCCGCGGCCTACCTGGATGCTGCAGCTCGGCCGCGCAGGGCGACTCCTACTCAGTCTGTCACTTGCAGTCAGGATCTCTCGGCAGAAATTACCCCGAGCGCCGCAGTCACTGGCGCGTAGTCCTGGTCGTGACCCCCGCACCCCTGCGAAAACCTACCCCCTAGGGCGGGGCCCGGCCTCAAACTTCCGGTTTCCGCCTCCCTCTTCCTGGCTCCGCACGCTCGGACTAGTCTTCCTTTCCGACAGGCCCGTTGAATTCTGGGGGTTGTGGTCCTGCTCCTCCGAGCGCGCGTCTTGGTGCCCCAAACTTGGAAAACCGGGACACAGTTTAGCGCAGAACCAGCCAATCCCCAGCTTACGATGCCGTGACGTAACTGTAGCTAGGGAAGATTCTCTCGGGATCCTCCAGAGGTGCAGCGCGCGCCCCCTAGTGCCTGGAGCGGCGCTGTCCCGGGTGATCCGGCGGTGGCCGACCCTGATCAGGTAGGGACAGGTCGGCCGCAGCACGAGGGGTGACTCGCTAGTGTTTCTGCCTTGTGCGCCACCTCCTCGTGTTCAGGCGGCGTGACAGAGCCCCTGAGCAGCTCTGGGGAGACTGGGTGACAGCTTGGGTGGAGGAGGGGAGAGGAGACGCCAGGGAGTAAAGTGGATGTAAATGCTGATTGATGCCCGAGAGTGGCTGCTGTTACCCAAGAACGATCTTTTTCCTCCCCCCCACTTGTCTTACATTGAGTAAGAACATGCACTCAGTGAACCATGACCCCACAATCCTGCCACATCCACTGCCGCAAAAAAACTCCTCCAACTCTTCCGGTTTCTGGAAAAACAACACTTTATTAGGTAGACAAGTGGCCTGGCAGATGACCTCAGATCCACAGTTGCCTGACTGAGCAGAGGGAAGGTGTCGGAATCTGGGTCTGCATCCTACCCCAGCCTCCTGGGAGGCAGCTCTGAATCAGTCAATGCGTGGGAGGGTTCCGGCCCAGCCAGCAGGCATGAAAGGGCTCCCCCTCTTCACCTTACCCGACCTCCCTGGGTAAGGCCGAACTCTTAAAGGCTAGGAGCAGAGGGGAGCCTGGCACCTTAGTGTGTGTTAGTTTAACATAAAGCTGGCCAGAGCCACAGCGTGCCAGCGGCTGCCACGCACGAAATGGAGACCCCTGCTGGAGGGAGAACCCTCTCAACTCTCGGCGACTATTTATAGCTAGGGCTGCAGGCTGCTGATCTGTGACATTCTCCTGCTGCCCCAACCTTGGAAAAAAGCCAGGGCAGAGCCTAGGTCCCTTCCCCCTTCTGTTCTTCCCTCACCCCAGGGCAGGCTGTTCTCCATGGTGCCTCCCTTGACTTCCCCACCTTCTGATGTGTGCGGTCCGTACTTTCCGAGGACCTCATTTCCAAGGAGAGCCACGGACCATGTGGAAACCTACTGAACCTTTGAGCTATTCCTTGGCCCCGAGCCTCCAGATGTTGGCTAGCACTCCTAGCTGTTGGAGAACAGCTGGAAGAGGTAGGGACTGGGTTGGGCAAGAGGAAGGGGGTGGAGTCAAGAATACGGGATGAAGGAGCTGGTGAAGATAAGCTATGAATCCTACGTGGTGTTAAACAAGAGGGTGGTGATGACCCCAAAGAGAATGGCCTTGTGGGGTGGACCCTGAGAAGAAAGAGATGGGGTTGGGATGCCTTCTAAAAAGTGTCCCCAGTAGGAGAGGCTGGCCGACACTTCCCCCAGCCAGAGCTACTGACCAGGGAGATGGGACAAGCAAGAAGGTCAGGGGAGCCTGGGTGATCTGAGCCTGCTAAGAAAAAGTGTAGCCTAGCCCTGTCAGCAGATTAAGTTCCTGCTCCCCAAAGAGGGTGCTGGCAGCCGGGTGCAGGCAGGGAAGAGCTTGAAAAGGTCACACAGGGTGGGGAGGCGCTGGCCAGGCTCCAGGAACCAGGAAGTCGTTGGGAAGAATGGCAAACCCCGGGGGCCAGAGATGCCAGAGTAGAGCAACTCTTGTGCCAGAGAGTAGCCTCGGGGAGGGGGAAGCCAAGTGAGCAGAGGCTTCTGAGGACGCAATTGTTGCTAGGAGAAGTTAGAAGGGAGTTGTTTGAGATCTTTGTATTTTGCTAACAAATACTGCGATCATTGATGCTGCGTGGGGCCCGGCAGAGGTCAGCCAAGGGGTCTGTGGGGCCTGGTCAGCTCAGGTGTCCAGACCCTTCCCTTGGCAGGTTTGCCTCGTCCTTCCTGTGGCTAAAGCACTTCTTCAGTCCCTTCACGGGGCTTGGGACAGATTCCCAGTGTGTGTGAGGCAGCAATCGGCAGCCCTTGACCTGGCGCCTTCCCTTCCCCCCATCCCGGCCCTGGAGCAGGCAGCCCTGGGCCTGGAGTCTGCCTTCCCAGAAGACAGTGAGGGACGCCAGTTCTGCAGGAGGCCGCAGGCTCCGCAGAATCCTGTATCTCCCGGTGTGTGGCTGAGCTTCCCAGCCCCTGTCCTCAGTGTCCTTCAGTGAGGCCCCCGCTGGCTGGGGGTCCTGGAGATCATTCTGAGGACAAGTGGCACCAGCTTCTGCTTCTCTCCGCTGGGGTGAAGGGGCTGCCTGTCCTGGGCCCTGGCCTCGCTCACATGTGTTCTGGGTGGTTCTGCAGGCAGCGGATGAATTCCCCCACCGGCTGGCTCTCGTAGCACACTTTGTACACGGCAGTGAACAAGGGAAACCTAGAGTGGAGGAGGCTCAGTTTAGCCCCTGCTCTGGACCAC